CTATGCCAGCATATTTTCACTTTGAAATTGGCATGAACATGAATCAAATAACTCAAGAGTGAGATTCTTGTTAATATAAAATATATTAACGTGGTATGTTAATATATTTACATAAAATAGTATTTTTATATATTTAATTTTGTTTAATATGTTCTTTTTTTTAGAATTTTGTTGACTGCCGTCAATCTAGTAAATTGAATATGTCATCAAGTGGAGTTGCTATAAAAAAAGTTGTTACTGGAAGAAAAAATTATCCTGGTAATAGGTCTGATGTTGGATGGAAATATGGAATGGATATTTATAGGAATGGTAAAAGAGTGAAGTGTAACTATTGTGATAAAATTGTTAGTGGAGGTATTTGCAGATTAAAACACCACTTAGCTAGTACTAAGATAGATGCTGAAGCTTGTGTTAGTGTTTCTGATGATGTTAGAAAAGTGATGTTATCTATATATATGAAGCCAAATGTGCAGCATTTAAAAAAAAAAAAACAATGTGTTGATTTGGTGAAGAAGATCAACATACACAAGCACAAGTTGAATCTTAGGAAAAGGAAAAAGGGATCATGAATTTCTTGAAAAGTTCAAAGAATAATAGGAAGGATGTGAGCAACACTCAATCAACCATCAATCAAATGTTCAAAAAGACTTGAGGGAAGAAGCATGTCAACAAATTGCTAGATTTTTTTATATAAGTGCCATTCCTTTTAATTGTGTGAAAAATCCAGAGTTTATAAAGATGTGTGAGATTATAGGAAAATATGACCTTGGGTTTAAACCTCCTTCTTATCATGAGATTAGAGAGAAGTACTTAAATTTAGGAGTAAAAAACACCGATGCTATGTTGGATCAGTTTAGGAGTGAATGGACAACAACAGGTTGTTCTATCATGTTGGATGGGTGGATTGATATAAGAAAAGGCATTCAATTTGTAATTTTATAGTGAACAATCCTAGAGGGACTGTATTTTCATATTCATTGGACACTTCTAATATTTCTAAGATAGTTGATAAAGTTTTTAACATACTTGATGAAGTGATAGAAAAAGTGGGAAAAAATGTGGTGTAAATAATAATAGATAATGCTACAAATTACAAAGCAGATGGACAAAAATTAATGGAGAAGAGAAAACACTTGTATTGGACACCATGTGCAGCTCACTGTATTGACTTGATGTTGGAAGACTTTGACAAAAAACTTACATTGCATCAGGAAACCATAAGCAATAGTAGAAGAATTACAATGTATATTTATAATAGAAGAATGCTCATTAGTCATTTAAGAAAATTTACAGATGGTCGAGTCTTAATTAGACCAGCTGCAACTCAATTTGCTACTGCATATTTGACAATATCGTGTCTTAAGGAAAATAAAGAAGCATTGATAAATTTTTTAGTTCGAAAGAATGGAATGATAGTAAATTTTCATCTACTAAAAAAGGAAAAGAAGTAGCTAGAAGTACTTTGGATAATAGTTTGTGGAAGAACATTGTAGTATATCTCAAGGCTGCTGCTCCTCTTGTTAAAGTTCTTCATTTGGTGGACTTAGATGAGAAGCCAGCTATGGGATTTATATATGAAGCAATGGAAAATGCAAGACAAAAGATTAAAGAGAATTTTGACAATGTCAAAAAGAGGTAAGTAGTAAATTTAATTTTTATTCTTAAATTTATAAATGTAAATTTATATCATAACTTTTCTTTTTATGATATTTTTTGTAGTTATGAGCAAATTTCAAACATAATTGATGAGAGGTGGGAAACTCAATTGCATAGGCCTTTACATGCAGCTACATATTATCTCAATCCTCATTTTCATTATAACCCTAATTTCAAAGCTGATTATTAGGTTAAAGAAGGGTTGTATATTTGCTTATCAAGAATGCTTGAAGATCCAGCAGAGAGAAATAAGATTGAGTATCAATTAAATGACTTCCACTATGCAAGAGGCATGTTTGTACATGATAATGCATAAGCTTTGAGGACAAAAATGCCTCCAGCAGAATGGTGGGATTCTCATGAGGATGGTTGCCTTGAACTTAAAAAAATTGCAATTCGCATTCTTAGTTTATGCTGTAGCTCTTCAGGATGTGAATACAATTAGAGTGCTTTTGAGATGGTAGTTTATAAATTTTAAAATATTATTCACGTTGTTATATTAAATATTAGAATATTGATGAAGTTTTTTTTTTCAGATTCACACTAAAAAAAGAAATCGGCTACATCTAAAAAAGATGAATGATTTAGCATTTGTGATGTGCAATCTAAAATTAAGAAGCAAGAAGAATAGAAGATCTTATGTCTATGACTTTGATGATATTCACTCAGATAATTAATGGATAATAGAAAGGAGGACAAATGAAGATACTTACAGTATGGAGGAGGAGGATGAGGTTTTGCAATATATTGAAAATCTTGAGAATATTAATAATTCTATCCACGAGCCAGTGATAGAGCTTAGTGATCATTTTGAAGTTGACTTAAATGTTGATTTAAATATTGATAGTCATAATTATAATGGTGGTGATATAGATGGAGATGATGATGTTGATAAAGCATTTGAAGATGATGGAGATGATAACCATAAAAGATTTGAAGATCTTTGTTGAACATAAATTAATATGCTTTATAATTGTTTAGGTTGAATGACTTTTTTTTATGTGCATTTGGGTTGAATGACTTTATTTAAGAACTTTTTGCTAATTTTATATTAAAAATTATGAATTGTGATATTATGTTTTGAATATATTATTATTTATTTTAATAATATTTGTCATTAGAGGTAGACTCTTATGAGTCTACGATACAATTTTACGTTACAAGTTCACGCCGTCCTTTCGGATTTATCTGAACTCACGAGTTTGATAACTTTGCCTAAAACAGTGATGACAAGAGTGTCATTCCAAGGTCTGCACCATTCCTAGTACTCCTCATATGTGAATGGGATTGAAGGGTATAACTCCATAAGCTTCTTCGTCTTCCACATCTTCTCAAAGTCCCCAAGTATGATGTCTTCTTTTTCCGTAGGGAGTGCATCATTTGCAACATCATTTAACCCTAGAAGTGTAGCCCTATAAGATAAACCTTTTGAGTTTGGTGAGGTTTCTATGGGAGTCACTTCCACCATCATGTTCCATTGCAACTTGTCCTTGACTGAGGGAAGTTTCTTCATTGTTATCCACATCTGGGATTTGAATATCATTGGAAATCTAATCATCAGTTAAAGCTCCTTCCATTTTCTTCTTTCCACCTGTTCAGGCTAGGTCATCGGAGGGTATATCGAATGGTCGATGTGGAGGCTGTTTTCGAAGACTATTGTTGTCTATCTCCATGAACTTTCTAATGCACGCAAACCAAGAGAGAGCAAAACCTAGTAACTAAGAGAGAGCCCTATGGCAATACTTGCCGGCTTCAAAGTAGATCCTAGAGTAGTAGTTAATTAAATACCGAGCCTTACAAATTAATCACATACTTTAATTTTCTAATAAATCCTTGCAAATTCGCTGCAAATTAAAACATACCATGTCATGAAAAAATTCTGCACAGAAATAAACTTCGTAAAAAAAAAATAGTGTGATTATCATATCAGGCTTCCTAGCTTGGAGAAATAACAAGTTAATTAATTAACAAAAAGCAATAATTTGCAAAAGTTTAAAATTTAAGGAATAATGAATGGTCAAGTTTTCAATGTTCTATTTAGTTAAGAGCTGAGAAAACGCTGTGTAGCATGCGTCATGAATCCTTGATGACATTGTGGTGAACACAGTTCGATGGAGCTCAGCTTATTCCTGTTTTTCTTCTTCGCTCCTCTCCTCACATCAATGCCCTCACTCTCTTTCTATATACTTCAACGTAGTCCCACTGAAACCTATATAGCATATATTCCACGTATAATTTTTGCCAACAAAAAAAAAACATCTTCAGATTTTATATTTTATATCGACGATATTGATGAATCATGGTCATGGATGATCTGGTGAGATTTAATTAGGGTTACTTAAAAGGAAAACATACCCAATAACTTTTTATTTAGGAGTACTCAATATTTTTAAGTGAACAAACATTATAAGTATAACAATTTATATTCCATTAAATTTAACTAATTAATGTCTATTAACATTGACCATTAAAAAAGAGAAATATAATGTGCAAATTTGACCAATGTCCATCAATTTTAACAGACGTGAGCCCTATTCAATTTAATAGAATGTGGATTCTTACACTCGTTAAAACAAGTTTATATGTATTCTTACATTTTTGTTAACTTAATAATACTTTTAATATATACTAAGAATTTTCTCAAAATTGGGAAGAGGAGAGGAGTGAGAATTGTTTGGGGGGGGGGTGGGTTTCAGCTTAATTTTGAACACACTGATGATAATTAACATCTCAAATGGCAACGCACAAATGCGTACACTTCTCTTTTCCCAAAACATCTTTTCTGGGTCCCACCATTTTGTCTGGAGCATCTCTCTTCTCCAATCACCACTCGACAACACAATGTCCTTGCCTGGTCCCACCCACTCCACGCTCGACAACGCATTGTACTGAAAAGAACTGCTAGCCTTCCCTCCCCTCCCCTCCTCTCTAACAAAACAGAGAGAGATGCAAGCCCTAGTTTCAAATCTGCACTAGCACTGCACTCATTTCTTCCCCATTTTTACTATATATTCTCCCCCGCTTCATCTTTTATACACATGACATGAACCCTCACAAAAGTAGAAACACAATCACGTTATAGACTCTATATATACCACACACTCTCCCCATTTCTTTACCCTACCTTTTCTTTTTTTGCATTCTGTTGCCTACTCTTCTCTCCTCACAGCCTCACTCTTTAGGGTTTCCTTATATATATTGATTTATCGTTATAGGTATGTACATATATGATATCTTTTCTTTCTTTTTTTCTTGATCTGGGTTGTTGGTAATTGTTCTCTCTAAAGTCTAAACTGCTTGAATTTGATTTGGTTTCTTGTGTTTGTCAAAAAGAGGTTAAAAAAAAACCCAACAAAAAACAAAAGCTGAACGAGGGAGATGGGGAGAGGTAGGGTTCAGTTGAAGCGGATCGAGAACAGTTCGAGCAGGCACGTGACGTTCTCAAAACGCAGAAACGGGCTGCTCAAGAAAGCCAATGAAATCTCAGTGCTCTGCGATGCCCAGGTCGCTTTGATTGTCTTCAGTTGCAGGGGCAAACTTACTGAGTTTTCCTCTCATTCCTCCAGGTCCTTGGTTCTTATACCCCTCTGTGTGTGTGTGTGTGTGTGTGTGTGTGTGTGTCTGTCTGTCTGTCTGTCTGTCTGTCTTTGATCATGTTCCTCCATGCTTGGACATACATACATACATACATACATATATATACATATATATATATATATATATATTTCTGTTTCTCACCGTACTGTCTTCTCGCCATATGGCAATTGTTTCTTGTTATCCCAACGAGCTAAGTGTCAGGTTTACGAGATCCACACTCACATACACATACATAAACAGGAATAGCATGTTTTCTGTTCCATTTTCTTTCTTTCTTTTCCTCTATACAGAGCAGCTGATATCACTCTACGTACTGAAATAAAATAGTTAACATTCGAGTGCCATGTTGGTTTGAGGGTATTGATCCTCCCACATGCCACGGGCTCCATTGGACACTGATGAATTAATATGAGAAGGAGAACCAATACTTCTGACATTTTCTTCAGTTTAAACTAAGTTTTATCTCATCTAACTCATTTTACTTTCTATTCCTTTTTCATCTGACCATTTAATTTGTATAGTATAATACCCTAACTGCAGACATGACCAGTCTTGATGGCGTCTCTTAAGCGTGCTTGTATGAGGTTGTTTGTGTAGCTAGCTTGTTATTGATTAATTAATTCATATATATGTTGTGTGTGCCTGACGAAAATGAAGAGTACCCTAACTGCTTGGAGAAAATTAAATATATTGCATTTTTCACTAAAATACAGCTCATCTATAGATACATAAATGTATTGAAAGTAACCCGTAAATATTCTGTTAAAAGTATTTTTTTAAAAATATTTGTCCGATTTATCCACTCTATATATAGCTCAATATGACAACCACGCGTACATATTCGTAGAGATCTTAATGTTTAGGGTGCTTACAGCAAGCAATATAAATAGTAATTAATGATGCAGGAAATTTTGATAGAAGACAAAGGTAAGTAACTAATTAGGGAAAAAATAAAAATAGAAGTTGATAGACTCTTCTGATTTAACCATTTTGTCTGAAGCCAAACATCTAACTCTCATCTAGGCTTTTGAGACTAATTTGAATCTTTTATAGGCTGGCAAATTGTAGTACAGTTTTGCTTCACATGATGTAGAAGTTCTTACTTTATTAAAAACACCCGATATATAGGCAAAAAAAAAAAACAATTAAAAAACGAACAAAGAACATTTTGGAGGATGATATCAGAGGTCTCTCTACTCTCAGAGTCTGTTTTGAGTATAAAATAATTTTGTACCGACCATTTTGTATTACCTGCAAAAAAAAAAAACAGAGAATAAAATAATTTTAAAATTGTACCTAACGGAAATAAAATTTTCATTAGATCAGTCCTAATCATATTCGGTCCATGCATTGTTAATATATGTTATATATCTCTGTGTAATTTGGAATGCGAGTTAATACCGGTTTGCTATACTTAGGAGTGCATGCAGCCTGTGATTGGTTGAAATAAATCTTTACAGAGCTATGCTCTGTGCAGTGATATTGATAAAGAAGAATGACTACAGTACCTCTTGTTTTCAAATGACGATAAATGACTGCAGGGAAAATAATTAACTTGGTTTTCACATCAATATTTTACATTAATTTGATCACAGAACATTAACAAAAGATATGTCTGTGTATTAACTCAAACGATCTCTTTTTGTTATTTATTGCTATTAACCTAATACGTACATACCCGTTGATGACTTTGACCATGAGATTCTCAACATAGGAAATTTTTCGCCCAAATTACAATTGAGGAGTCACTGTTTCTTTTTAATAGAGTAAACTCCGTGCAATTAGGAGCATGATATAAATCATACTATTCATTGTTTATGCAAATCATTTAATATTATATATTTGTGTATTGATATTGATTTTCTGTTGATTTGATTAAATTTAAATTGAATAATATTTTTGCATGGGACAGCATGGATAACATTCTGGAGCGATATGAGAGATGTTCGCACTCAGAACAACTTGCTGGAACCAACAGCGATTCCCAGGTGCTCCTTCATATATACAAATATGTAAAATTATGGTACCGACCTAGCTTAGAGAAAAACAAGGAAACTACATATTAAAATTTGAATATAATCAAATTATAACTGGGTCTAACTAGATTTCAAGTTTACGATTAATATGACCTGCTCTCAAATCTCAATAAATGAATTAGAAACTCTAACAAATTCTTTTTTATCATTCTTGTAGGGAAACTTGTCTTTGGAGCTATTCAAGCTCACTACTAGAGCTGAAGTTTTACAAAAGAACATAAGGTAAAATTCACACTTACTCTTTCCTCCGGTAGTCTTTCAAAATTATTTTCTGAAGATCACTTCAAAGTAAAATTGAGTGAAAGAAAAACGATGAATTAAGAGCAGATAGTGTTTATTTTGATTCATGGTACTTAATTTTATTTGGATGGTGTTAGATTGTTTAAGTGTGAATGGGCTAAAAATGATGTGGGAAGTCCCACATCAGATAAAATTAGGTTTAATAACTAATACAAAATAAAAAACAAGGACCTATAAATTTGAGCCTTGAGGTTTTGAGTTAAAATGTGACATCTTTTTGTTAATCTTATTCGTCTCTCCTCTCCCACCATTCCCAGGTGGTAGCTCCCTATTCTTAACAAGTAATATCAGAGACAGTTTTACTCGAGACCTATAAACTTGTTATTGTTCACATATTTGAAGCCAAAATTTTAACAAGTGGTATCAGAGCTAGGCTTCACCCAGGACCTGTAAGCCCATTATTGTTCACACATTTGAAGCCCAACAAATGAGACTGGCCCTACTTCAGCAAGGACTTGTGTGCATTAAATTGTTTGAAACCTGTGTTTAGGACGCCTTTGATATGAAAAACTTGTGGACTCACTCTTGAGGGAGATTGCCAGTTTGTCTAAGTATGAGTGGATATAAGACGATATGAAAAGTCCTGCATTGAATAAAATTGAATTAATAACTAATATATAATAAAGATGAAGGATCTATAAACTTAAGCATTGAAATTTTGAGTTAAAATGTAGTGTCCTTCCGCTACTATTACTTGTCTCTCCTCTCCCCTCTTTCCCAAGCGATCGCTCCCCATTCCTAACACATGATATAGCTTAATAAAGAAGGTACGAATTCAACTGTGTTAATGGTTAATAATGATTAATATATATGTTATATGTGATGCTGAAAATAGGAATTATGAAGGAGAGGATTTGGATCCCTTGAGTTTGAAGGAGCTTCAGAGTTTGGAGCACCAGCTCGACAATGCTCTAAAGCGCATCCGAATGAAAAAGGTAAAAGAGTTAAACATATGCTAGCTAGCTCAAAACTACTCATGTCAATTAAATAAAAAGGAAAAAGAAATATGAAAGAAGGGAATCAAAAAGCATCGTGAAAATTGAATCCCTAATATAACTTCTTTTTTTTTTTTTGGTTTATTCCTTTAGTACTCAACTCCAGTTATCAAAATTTGTGCAGAACCAAATCATGATGGAATCCATCTCAGAGCGGCACAAAATGGTACGGTGGGCACTATATGTATATGAGAGATATTTATTAAGGTTATTAACATGAACATTAAAAAATTTTTGCTAAAAAAAACATGAGCATTAAAAAAGGCAAAAGAAAAAACAAGAAGAAAGAAAGAAAAGGTACGGTGTAGCGATAACATAATAATGTCATGTTAAGGCACAGCTGAAAGTCTTTGAACTATGTACATAGTTTGGATATGAATTCATGTTTGCTAACAAGTACCACCAAACAATAGACGGTGTCACAGTGCATACATATACAACGCACAGGTTAGTTTCATGCATGTACTGTAAATAGTATGGACAAATAATTTATTCATTAATTTTGAATTGTGGTTACTAATATTTGTTTGGGATTTTATTATATGTGTGTATTAATTAATGTGTTGGTGGATGATTGATTTATTCCCATGATCAGAAGCACTGGAGCCAATATATAGCAGGCTATGTATTAGCTCATATGCTATAGTTTGTAGCTCAACACTATCGCTGCCACTGCGTTAGTCGTGTGGCCTTGTGTCTCCCATATATAAGCTATATTAATACACAACATTACTTTAACATGTAGCTACGTACTGCTATGCTATATATTCATTAAAGTCGATTTGGGATGTTATTAATAAAAAAATAATTAACTATGGAAGTAAGCACATATATCCCTTATCTATGGAGGGTACATGGCTTACAAAGAGTGGTGTATCCTTAGATCAATGCCTTGGGTTTCTTCTTTGTTTAATTTTTTTTAAATTTATTTCAATGACTTAGCTAAACATATCACACTGGATACTCGTTGCACAAAATTTTAAAAAAGAAGTTCCATAAGTTATATTGTAAACAATGCATTTTGTTATTAATTTGTTAAAATGGTGATGACTTATTCAACTTTTTTTTTTGGCTGACATAATTAAGTTTGTTGTGATTTCTATAAAATGTTACGGCAAATCCAATTGATAATGGAAAATGATAAGTGTGTGGTGAATTTACATATAACAGGAAAAGGCGCTGAAGGATCAAAACAACATGCTAGCCAAGAAGGTATTATTAACTTAGCCACATTGTATGTGGAGCTGATAATTTTAATTTATCTCTCATTTATTTGTGTACGTGTTTGGGGGAGACACATGTATAACATAATTAATATTGCAGATCAAGTAGAAATGAGTAAGATTATTGTATTAAGTTATGATAATTTCTGCAGGTGAAGGAGAAAGAGAAGAAGGCACTGATAACCCCACCCCAGCAATATCCATTCGACTTCAATGTTTCTCCGCCGCAGCTACCATCACCACCTACTCTAACTCTTGGGTATACATATTCATTACTCTCTCTCTCTCTCTCTCTCTCTCTGTCCCACCCACCCACCCACCCTACACACAGTTTTTTTTTTTTTTTGGAAAAAGAAGCAGCATATGTAGAAATAGATATACTCTCTCTCTCTCTCTCTCTGTGTCACACCCACCCACCCACCCTACACACAGTTTTTTTTTTTTTGGAAAAAGAAGCAGCATATGTAGAAATAGATATACGTAGAAATAGATTGAGCAGATGTAGCAAGATATGTTTCTGCGACACAGTCAACTTAATTATACTGATGATATATATATATATATATATGGATAAATTAAAATTCATTTACCGTTGATAAATATATACACATGTGCAAACTGTACAGTGGGTGATGAAAAGTGTAACTGTGCAGTGGAACTCGTGAAGAAGGAGGAGCCATGTTGGTGGGGGACAATGAAGCTGAAGCTGAAGCTGGTCCTAGTAACAACATCGTCATGCCACCTTGGATGATGTTTCATATGACTAGTTAGACTCTATATTTTGGGTGATATGGTTAAGGTGATTATAATGTTGCAGGAACTTAAACTAAGGAGATATGTGGAGTAGCTACATTTATAACATGTTTTGCTGTCTGTCTGTGTGTGTGGGTGTTGATGTGTTGTGGTTGGGAAATGCAGCCTCTGAAATCTTAGGCTCCAGCAAAGCTAGCTTTGTTAATATATATATATATATATATATACACATACCTTTTCTACTCACACCTAATCTTCTTCCCCCTTAGCTTCCCATCACTACTCGTCATCATAATTTCCACTATTTTCTCTCATACTCATTTTTCTTTTTTCTTGTTTGTATATTTTCCAACACACAGAGCTTAATTAATACTAACATTATTTTTTCTTTGTAAATGGGATATAAAATCATTGTGACGAGAATGCAATCATATAGTTTACCTACCCTTAGAGCTAAGAATTCAGTGACTTGGTTTTCCAGTGGTTGCCATTATTTGATGTTCTTCAAGTTAATTAAAAGACGGGTGATGACGTAACAGGTTTTGGATTATGGGACATGTGATTATTATGAAATTAAAAGTTGTTATTGGTATAGTTGAAAGTTTTCGAAAATTAAGGGATACATATTTTACTTTAAAAACATTTTTACCGGCAAAGGTGATTTAATTTCGGCTAAAAGTATCTGCCTTTTAATTTAATGGATAGGCTGGATTATATATGTTGACAAGAAAATGGAAGTTTATGTAATGCAACTTAAAGGTTATAAGAAGATATCATTTAGAGCAGGCTTAGCTTTCAAAAAATATATATATATATATATATAGTCCTTATAACCAAGATAAAATAAATACGAGAGGTCAACATAATTTACTAAAAAATAGAGTGCTTCTGTATTTCCAACTTAAAAATATGAGACTCTTTTATTTCTTTTAATAAATTGTATTTTAGAAATAATTTATTATATAAATATTATTACATTGTTTGTGCCTTTTATGTAGCAGTCCTCACCCTACCCTCTCGGAGGTCTTTGGAATTGGGCCAACCCAAACATCACTGTAGCGAAAGTCGGCCTCACCCCACCAAAAAGGTCTTTTGGAGCCTTCCCAAACTCAAACCCCCAACCTCTACCACCTTAAGGAAGTTAAAGTTAAGTCTGGTACCATTGAGTCAGAGTGACTTATTGGTACCAAACTTAGCCTTCCATTGAGTCAGGGTGACTCAATAGTATCAGACTTAGCCTTAACTTCCTTAAGGTGGTAGAGGTGGGGGTTCAAGTTTGGGAAGACTTCAAAAGATCTCTTTTGACTTAATGGTATCAGACTTAGTCTCAATTTTCTTAAGGTAGTAAAAGTTGGGGGTTCGAGTTTGGGAAGGCTCTAAAAGACCTCTTTAGTAAGGTGAGGAATAACCCAAGTACCACTTTAGGGAAAGCTGGCTTCCACTACAATGATATGGGTTGGCCCAATCCAAAAGACCCCTGAAAGAGTGGGGTGAAGACTGTTACATCTTCAATATAATTTTCTCCCACTACTATGAAAAGGAAGATAAATGACAAGTTTTATTTGACGGTTATATTTATGATTGTCCAATAAATAAGAATATTGGACGGTTCTTCTAACAGGTAACAACCGTCCAATATATTATTAAAAGAACCCTCTAATTTATATTTGAATTTTTATAATTTTAAAAAAAATAAAACAATACATTGAATGGTTATTTATAATAACTGTCCAATAAGATGAATTATATTGGACGGTTGGAAATACAATCATCCAATATATACTTTTTATATCAACTCCTGTTGTCCAAACATAGATTCATTTCGACACCCACACCCCAAAAGGTCAAAGCATCTCTTCACGCTGCGTAACACCCCCATTGATCGCCCCCTAAAGATTAGATTAGTTCAATGTAGCACCACCATTCCCAAAACAGTTCTTAGTTCGACACCCCTCCCCTTAAAGATCAAATCAGTTACCTTTTGTCGCTCCTCCCCTCGTGCCTCTCTTCTTTTCCTCTACCATTTCTTCACCACCGACAAGTGACAACATTCAATGTTGGTTTGCAATGCTCTCTTCCTCTCCCACGCCCTCTTCTCACTCCTCACGTGCATCATTCTATAAGTATTGCAACTCTCTTCTTCTCATTTTTTTCTAAATCTCTTGATTGCTATCTAAAATTTGATTATTGTTTGGGTTACATGAGCATGTTTGATTCTTGATTAGGCTTTGGTTTGTTAAATTACATTATATTAATTTTGTGTTATTATTATAACACGCAAGGTGTTTGATGAAATGCTTCATTGAAAAAAATAAAATTTGACAAAAGCCCACGTGAAGTTTAAGTTATAGATAATTTGAAAATGGCATGTTGCACCAATAATATATGATTAAATGAGAGTTATATTTAATATTTATTTTATCCAAATTTATTATCTATTTTTTATGTATTTTTTGTTTGAACAATATTTAACTAGTTTGATTGAAAATTTTTTATCCTTTGATTCTTTGATTGATAGTTGAGTAATATATGAAGTTTTATAGTGATTGAAATTGTATATAAGTACTTTTAGTTTACTCAAAATTGTTACTTATGTATAATTTTTAGCTTTAAATAACATATGATATTGTTGTTTTTGATTATGATAATGATGTGATTGAAATGAGGGCAAAATGCCTTAGAAAATTTTATTTTTATGTCATTATACTACCAAATTTTAGTTTGAAATTAATAGTTGGCATTTTAAGGGGCCTTTTGTTTAAGCTTTTTTAAAAAAATTAAAAAGAAATTTTTATATTTGTTTTGAATAGGAATAAAAAAATTTCAATAAAAGCAGCTTTTATAAATTGATAATATATACTCCCTCCGTTCAAAAATATAAGGCATTTTTAACTTAATCTCACCCTTCAATAAAGTAGTTTTTTTACTTTTAAACTAATCCTATCTTTTTATATTTATCCATATCAAATACCCTATAATAGATATAAAGTCACTATCAATAAGGACACTTTGAAAAAAAGGTAATAATTGCACATCAAAAGATTAAAATTTTTTTATATTTTTAAATATTTAACTCCTCAAAAAATGTCTTATATTTTTGAACAGAGGGAGTAATTTTTATAACAATTGGGCATATATATTAATGTTAATATTGAAATATATATTTTACTTATCATTATAAGTAAAAAAAATAATTTTTTTATAATTGTAACCAACGTAAAATAATTTTTTATTTTTTTTAAAATCTCTACAAAATAAATCACTTTTTATAAAATCTCTAAAATATTTAAAAATTATTTTTTAATCTTAAACACATAGACCCTGATGTTATTTATATTTTATATATATATATATATATTCAAATATAATGCCTAAAGAAATCATGAAAATAAATGTTATAAGCTATTTATAACTTATAAATTAAAGAATTCATTTGTTGGCAAGTTTTTTTATAAGATAAAATACTTACAATTAGTTTAATATAATTATAACTATTATCTTAAATTTAATTAGCTTAGAGAGGGATTGTGTGGGTTTGTGTGTGTGTGTGAAATGTTTAAAATCTCATGATTAACATGTCTTGATAGGACATTTTCTTCAAGTGGCCATATATTCTATTTTATCTAATGGGGTGTGTAATATAATAACTAAATTGTGTTTTTTCTTCAAGTCTATTTGTATCAAAGTGATCAACCCTCGCAAATTGCCAAGATTGCAAAACCAAATTATAAGGATATTATGTGAACTTGAAATGTATTTCTTACCTATATTTTTTGACATAATAGTTCAACTTACTATTCACTTAGTTTAGGAGGTAGAGATGTGTGGCCCAACTTATTTAAGATAGATGTACCCAATTAAATGTAACATAAAGATACTAAAAGGATATGTGAAAAATTGAAATGGACTTAAGGGTTGCATTGTTAAGAGGTACATAAATGAAAAGGTTGTTGAATTTTGTCAAAAGTACTTGAGAGATGGCAAATATGTTGGGATTTCAGTAGATAAACATATGGGAAGAGAAGATGGGAAAGGAATGAAAGAGGTCAAATTATTCACTATTTCAAGAAAAAACACTGGGAGCAGGCACACCTTTATGTGTTGCACAACTTTAAAGAAGTTGATGAGTATGTAGATGTAGATAAGCACAAATCTGACATTAGGAAAGATAATCTTAAAAGAAATGAAATTTGATATGAGAAAGAATATAATAAGCATTTCACAAGTTGGTTAAACAAGCATGTTTTTGACAAGTACAATTCTAATGATAATTTTGTTTCTAAAAGAATAAAATGGTTGGCTAGAGGTCCAAATATACAAGTTGTCTCTTATGATAGCTATTTAATCAATGGATACGCATTTTATGTTAAAGAGCTAGATGATCGAAGCACAATGCAAAATAGTAGTGTATCTCTTATAGCTGAAGTAATCCATATTTTTAGTGTGAAAAATAAAAATTTTATATATACATCAATGTCATATTTTGGAGTGATTGAACACATATGAGAGTTGGATTATTTTAAGTTGAAAGTCCCAATCTTTGGTTACAATTGGGTTAATTATAAAAGCGGCCTTCAAATTGATGCGTCATCTGGGTTCATACAGGTGAATTTTACAAAGGCATGAAAATAGGCTAAACAAGTGTTCTCAAAGACATCATCACTCATGGGATGACTCTAATTCCTACTACGGTGTGTATGTTATTTAGATTCAATTATATATGATTATAAATTTTAATTTATTGAAGTAATTAACTTTATTGTCTCATTATATTATTGAAGTATTATCCCAATTCATACTGTAAAGAATTCGGGGGATCGTCACATTAACGAAGTCATTGAGAAATGGTGTGAGTACAATTTTCAAATGTGTGCTAAAAATAAGTGACCTGTACATTTTTATTTTAGTTTTTAGAATAATTTTAATTTAGTATAGTAAACAACTTTGTTTTGTTTAGTAATATTTTGAGCAATTGTATAGGAAATAATTTTTTTATTTTAATAAAATTGTTAGTTTGCTATAATTGTTTTTAGTTTAGTATAATTTTGGATTAGACTAATCATTGTATTTGCATTGCACAGTTGCAGGAGGTTATAAGAAATGCAGTCTGTATATTTAAAAAAATTATAATATATTGAATGATTATTTCTACAACTGTCCAATAAATGACATATATTGGATAATTTTAATAAATAACTGTCCAATATATAGATTTTCTACTTACTCCAAACATCTAGTTTCAATATATATTGGATATTATAATATTGGATGGTTATTATAACTATCCAATATTTATTTTACCATTATATAATAGTATCATATTGGATAATTCATAATTGTACAATATAGACAAAAAATACTGTTCAAAATTAATTTTTTTATAGTAGTGTCCTCTTTAATTTAAAACTTCTGGGCTACTTGAATTTATCTTGAATGATTAAATGAGTGAAAATTCGGATAAAAGATAATGATTTGAATTAATGACACTAGATCATGTCTATGTACGTGTGGGGATGCGATTAGAATTTGGTTTAATTTGCAAGTCTCAACTCTCAATACAAAAACGGACTCTTAATAGGTACATTTTTTTTCCTTAATGTAAAGTAAAAGTTAGAGTGATTATTTTTTTTAAAATCTTACCCCTGTATATTTATTATTATTGAATTTACAGACAACAATTTATTATAATTATTGATTAAAAAATATAAAATTAAAAGGTTACATATCCTTTTAGCTATTTTAAGGATATATATATGTATGACCATGGTTTCTTCATAAACATGAATTGATTAACTTTGTGCTATATTAAAGACGAGATGGAGTATAATCTAAGAAAGAAGGAAAATTTAAACTTAGTATATATTATTAATTAATTTAATATTATTATTAAATAATAATAATAATTAAATGGACTAATTTGATTTGGTTGGATGAATGCTCTATGATGGGAATATAAATTATGAAAAAAATTTATATACTTAACTTTATATATTTTAGTTATATGTTTTTAATTAAATTAAAAAATGTATATCATTTATATATTATTTGTTATATAACAAACCCTAATTATTGATATTATTATTAATACATTAATATCTACTTGTTTTAATTTTATGAGATAAAAATACATTGATATATCTAAATGTTGTCGACTAAAAACTTTTAAAAGTAATACTTCTCCAATCTTATTTATAGAATAAAAAAAATTAATTTTAATCATATTTGTTAGAAACAGACTCCATTATTTTTTATATTTATATTTGTTTTTATTTTTATTAATTACATTATTAAAAATAATTATTTTTGTAGTAAATACATATTCTCACTCTGACAGGAGCCGGAGCTACAGCTACTTCCTTTGGGAGTTGGTGGGGTTGGTCAAGAAAACGTCAAAACATGGACTTTCCAGATTCCAGATACTAGTACCTTATTTCGAAATTTGATTTGAAAATTCGCACCTTTTTTTTCCTTGTGTTTCTCCGATCTCCGAAGCCTATTTTCCTCACCCCTGGCCAGACTTATGGACTTTCGTTCTGCTCCCATCTCTCAATTCATCTCAAAACTCCAAACCTCCTGGGTAAATTTTTCCAAGTTCTAGTCATTTGTTTTTATCCCAATGTTATCCGTTTTCTTCATCCTACCTGGTTTTTGATTATAGGCACTTTCATTATATTTGTAGTTGATTGCTAATCTAACTGAATTATTGCATCTTTCACACTTCGAGCTTCTTCTTCATAGACGGGTTTCGCTAATTATTCCGCGTCGTTTCTGAATCTGATGTTATCTGCAGACAACCTGCAGATACAGCAGGATCATGGCAAACGATTCCAGTTCTAACACTCAGAAGAAGCTTGTTAAAATCGATATTAGTTCTGATTCTGTATGCCCATGGTGCGTTGTTGGCAAAAAAAATCTGGACAAAGCCATTGCTTCTGCTCAGGACAAATACGACTTTGAGGTTTTACACTCTGACTTTGTCTCTGTGTGTGCGTGTTTGTGTGTGTCCATCAATATGCCTTGCTAATAAATGTTGTTAACTCAATGTTACAGATAAAATGGCATCCTTATCAACTCGACCCAGACGCCCCAAAAGAAGGTGTTGACAAGAGAGAGTATTACAGAAGAGAGTTCGCATCTGGATCAGAACAGATGGAAGCTCGGATGTCAGAGGTTCTTTTGCTTTTGTTTTTGTGGGCATAGTACCTTATTCGGTCACACATGTTAATTTGTTTCTATTTATTGTCTATTATTCACGTGAACTAGTCATTTTACCAATATCGTATTTGCAGGTTTTTGGGAAAGAAGGTCTGGAGTATAATATGTCTGGATTAACGTAAGCTGGAGAGTGGTTTAATTTAACATTTTTTCAATGGACAAGAAGTTTTTTTTTTTTTTGGGTTGAGATTCAGCTAACACTGTCATGACAGGGGAAACACTTTAGACGGCCGTAGGCTTATATACTTTGCAGGACAGCAGGGCTCTGAGAAGCAACATCGCCTTGTAGAAGAATTGTTTCTGGGCCTACTTCACACAGGGAAAGTACATTGGTGACAAGTAAGTACATCTGGTCCATGTCCCCTTTTTTCCTTTCAAGTATATGCTGTCATACTTTCAGGTACTACATTGTTTTTATTTTGATGGATGGTGGATTCATCTAAACATGTCTTCTTTATGGGTCACTGCTTCGGGAGAGAACTAATACTACAAACTGACTTCTTTAAAGCTTGTGTGCTGATGTTAAGTATGAAACTAGTTTGTGAAGATTGGCCTGCCTACAATCGCTATACATTGTGATTAAGAGTGGCTCAGGGCCGTATAAAGAAGTTTTGAGGCCTAAGGTGAAATTATTGGTAAAGCCTAGCATGTGTAACTGCTCATTAAAATATATATGCACACAAACACATATGCACTCATCATTTTTTACAAAATCAAATATTAAAGTTTTATAATATAGTAATTCTAACAAAATACTAATTAATTCAATAGAGAGATGAAACTTAGTGTTGATAAAGTGCTTCTACTCTATCCTATACGTTGGGATGGAATGTGAGTATTAACATTGATGTGGGGGTGGTAATAAATTCTTAACAAAAGATACAGTTAAGACCGATGATATTAATGATTAATGTGAAAAATCAATATAATTATATAATTTATAAAACAAGATTTAATAAAGCTTAAAGGTGTCACCTTACGGTTTAAAAACTATATACGGTTTTGATATTGATATTTGTCAATGTTTTAGGCTTTAGAATAAGATAAAAAAATGAAGAGTGAAACCGTGAGTTAGAACAAGCTAATGTAGTACAGATTAGTATATTATGGATCTTACTATTCTTTTTTTATGTAGATAATGGGCTCAGCTCAATAATTAATGTTATACTGAGATGGTTGAAGCTTTTTCAACAAGAAACACAATCAATACTTTTTGTTTTCTTTTATCTGCGATTAAGTATATAACAATACAAATATCAATTACACACATATATAATAGGGGTATTATGAAGAAAAAAATTTGGAGGCCTAAAGCAATTGTCTTACTTGTCTTGTGGCTTACACGGCTTCAGTGGCTCTACTCTTCTTTGAATATGATTCCTTGAAGGTACATTTGGATTGATGAGAACAGAGGAGACTATAAGGAAGGGGACTTTTAATTTAGACATTTCCACTCCTTGTCCTGTATCTGTCGTTTTCCTTAATCCCAACAAACCTTAAATGGTAGGCATAATCTTTCATTCATTTTGTCGCTTGGTTGTAGTGATTTTCTTCTGGAATGTGCCAAGAAGGTGAACTTAGAAGGGGCTGCTGAGTTTCTTCAAGACCCCAACAATGCGCTCAAGGAGGTACTTTTCATATAACATATGTAAAACAGGCTGATTCCTTCATGATGCATTTGGTTTCAAATGATTGCGTTTGCTATATATCGAGCTTCATGTAAATCACGTTAATTCGCACTTATAGATGCCGTCACCAAAACAAAACTTATAAATACTGCTGTTCGCTGTAAATATATATATATATATATATATATATTGATGATTGATGATTTTTCAAACTGCATAGTATTTGAATTTCTTATGCAGTTGTTTTAAACTCAACATGTTTTCTTTATAATAGTTGGCAGTTATACTAAAGCAAATGATATGACTGTTGTTTGTGATTGACTCTGACTAGGTTGAGCATGAGCTCAATGCACCCTCCGGAAACGTCAGAGGGGTTCCATTCTATGGGTGAGTGTATAAAATTCCATTTGCTTTTTCTGGGTTATTCAGTATTGATTCATTTAATTCTTTGACAGATTAACGGAAGTTGCAAAGTTAGTGGCGCTCAGCCCCCTGAGCTCAGTAGAGTGTGCCACATCTTCAAGTCTGTACAGTGATGCTGCTGGATAAAGATATATGAAACGCTGCAAAAACATTGCAATATTATACTGACGGCAAACTCTTGCAATTAAGATGATCAAGTGTTCTATTTTGGATCCCTCCATTTTTCTTGTATTGGTATTCGAAATTGAAACTGATAAATATTGTCTTGTATTAGTATGTACCATCAAGTGTTGGTGTTTCAGTCTCCCCTTACTGCATAAAATATTAATATTTAGGTGAAAGTTCCATATGCTATTATAAAAATATGAATATCAGATTTCTCTACAAAAACGCACACGTAATTCTTCCTACTTTTTCCACGTAATTAGACACTTTTTTGAATACGTTATAAGGTGTTTAACTGGTTTCCTGTTCAATTGGACTCCCAAGAAAATTTAGGACATTTTCAAAAATGGATCCTATGATTTTAGATTTCTCATACATATATGGCCAAAATCAATATTAAATATATTATATAAAATTTATGCAAAAATAAAAGAGATCATTTATAGAAAATGGTTGAATTGGACTCCTTTTTTCTTTTTGGTGGACGAATGAGTAACGATCGGAGGATCGGAGAAGGCATTGAATATTCTAATTTGGATGGATCTTGTTTTACTGCATCTCCATATTTGCGTGCATTCCAGTTTTCCCGTCAGCGTGAACCATGGCCGAAGCTTATGCTTTCTGACTTTGTCTTTCTATCATCTTTCCAAATTAAAATTGAATAGATCAAACTATTACTCTTCATCTTCGATAATGAATTCTATGTGCGTTCTTCTGTCTCACTGATCTCCCAAAACTAGCAGCATTCTGGGTATACATTCAAGTTTAATCCCTTGTTTTGCATACGCTCTTCATGGGACTCAATTATAGGCACTTCTTATTTGTAGCTTTGAACTATTCTATCTGACATTGCGTATTTATCATCTTCCTCCTCGCTGAATCTAGTAATGTTTGTTTACTGAGACTGCAGATTTTACACAGCAGGACCATGCCTAACACCTCCAGATCCAACCCTGGGAAGAAGCTCGTTAAAATTGATATTAGTGCTGATACTGTATGCCCATGGTGCTTCTTTGGCAAGAGAAATCTAGATAAAGCCATTGATTCCTCTAAGGACAGATACAACTTCGAGGTTTTACGCTCTCTCTGTGCTTGTATGTGTTTGTCTTGTACCCAAACATCTCTGGCATATACGTTGCTCATTAAAATGATGGCTTCAAATTACAGATAAAATGGCATCCTTATCAACTTAACCCTGCTGCCCCTAAAGAAGGCGTTGACAAGAGAGAGTATTACAGGGGGAAATTTGGATCTCAATCAGAACAGATGGAAGCTCGGATGTCAGAGGTTTTTCTTTCTGAATCAAGTTCATTGCTTTATTGCTGTTACTACCCGTGTTTCTGATGAAATGAGTAGCAAGATATTATTCCAAATTGGTGTTTCCAGGTTTTTGGGAGCGTGGGCCTCCAATATAACATGTCTGGGCTGACGTAAGCTTGAGGGTGGTTTACCTTAATTTCTTCAACGGAAAATAAACATTTTCTGGAACTAAGAAACTCTTTTTCATCCACAGGGGAAACACATTGGACAGTCATCGGCTCATATATTTTGCAGGACTGCAGGGCTCAGACAAACAACATCATCTTGTTGAAGAATTGGGCCTTGGCTACTTCACACAGGGAAAACACATTGGTGACCAGTAAGTACTTTGGTGCATGTCACTGCTGGCTGACTTCTACAAAGATTGTGTGCTGTATGTATAGGATCAGTATCCAAGAGTGACGTGGGAGATGGATGCTCAGTGTGAATATGAAACTAATCTTATTTACATGTTGTAGAAGGTTGTATTACTCATGAGACATGAACAATGCAACTTTATATCGACACATGTGATGCTTTTGGATTCACTGGTAGTAAAATATATTTGCAATCTTTACATAATGATATTTGTCTTTGAATCTGGTTTCGTAAGCGACAGGCATAATTGTGATTTGGTTGCAGTAATTTTCTTTTGGAATGTGCTGAGAAGGTTGGGTTGGAAGGGGCAGCAGAGTTTCTTCGAGAACCCAACAATGGCCTCAGGGAGGTATTTTTCACTCACATATATGAATACTCCTTCCTGCAGCATTTTGGTTTCAAATGGTTGCTTGAATTTACTGCTCTCCGTTGAATTTAAATGGATGTGTATTCTTCATGCTTGCCTTGAAACTGTTTAGTTGTCAGGCAATTAAACAGGTTTAATAGCACTGAGTTTGCTTTTTATGACTCTCACCAGGTTCAGGATGAGCTTAACAGAGGAAACGTCAGAGGGGTTCCATATTATGTGGTGAGTGGATTAAATTGGAGTTAGTATTAATTATTGCTTAAAATGTTTCAATTTCAGAATGTGCTCAGAACCCATCAAGCATATTGATTCATTCAATGAACTGGCAGATTAATGGAAGTCGCAAAATTGATGGTGCTCAGCCCCCAGAGGTGTTCGTGAAAGCTTTTGAATTTGAGGGGTGAAGTTTATCGCATCTCCAAGTTTATGCTTCTGAGTTCTGATGAAAGTCTCCATCTTTATTGCATCTTAAAGTTTTTTGTATCTATGATCATTCCCCAACTCCCTGATTAGAGAAGATAAATGATAAAAGATAATAAGCCACTCCATCTTTTTGATCGTTTTTGTATGTGTCTTTTAATTCTTCAGTAAATGTATGATTTTTCTGTTTCTATTGGGGGAAAAAAAGTGATGCTTCCGTGTAAGGTGGAAGGCCATATTAATATGTACCAAAATAAATAATGCGACGTCTTTTTTATGCCCCATCTCACTTGTCTACGTGTATTCCTAATACAGTAATAATAAACTGAACGACGTTGGCTCTGCTATTTAACTCCAAACCGCAGTTCTTGACATCTCATTGTTAAGCTTCGGTTCGCTTTATCTATAAGATATAGTGATTGCCATTAGTGTACATGAAACAGACTCACCATATCATGGTAAAACGCAAACGTATGGCAGTTTGACCAGGAAAACAGTTTAGAAGGTCAAAACATGTAATTAAGAACAATGTTTTTCCCTCTTTTCAGTGAAGTACGATTTTGAGACAATCTTAATTGTTTTGAGAAGAAAAATTGTACACAAAGGCCAGTGTCTATGCTTCATTATAAACTAAGGAATGAAGGTTGAAAGAGAATTTGATCACATTTAGAACTTAAAATGACATTAGCCTCTCCCCAGCGTCACCAATTCTAGCGATGGGACAGAGCGTTGCGCACACAGCTCATGTATAGATGGATCGCAGCCACTTCAATTTATGGGTGGTCTTGTTCAAACTTAACGTCTCAAAATAATTACAAAATTATTTATACAACTTTTAAGAAATATATATATATATATATATATACATACACATAGATATATCCGTTTAATCTCATTTAAATATTCAATTTTAAATTTCAACTGCAATTTATTTTAAAATTTAATAACCACTGTTAAAATCTTGAAAATATTTTATTCAAAAACTTGCTGACATAATTATATATAAATGAAATTATTGACCCAGAAAAAATATAATTTATTGTTTGACTCGGTGCATACTAGCAGGATGCAATAAACCAACCAAATAACAAACAATGCAATCTACTTAGAGCGAATAGATTAAGTGCGTATTTCGATAACATTTTAATCGATTATTTGAGTGAAAAAATTAATTTTGCCAAACTTATTCAAACACCCATTTATTTAAAAAATTAATTTTTACCAGAAAAATCAATTTATTCTCAAAGCTTCTTGACTCAGCTTCTGCGTTCAAATTATTCAAGAAATATGCAAAAATTACAAAAGCGGCCCAAAAAATTATAAAAAAAATATAAACTTAAAACTGAAATCAAAATCTCTTTTCTTCTTTTTTTTTAAACAAAATTTAAATTTAAAATCCTTAAAAAAGTTACGAATATAATTCCTATTAACCCTCACCCTCCACTTAACACTTACTATAAATTAATTTAAATAAAATATTAATTAATAAAAAAATTAATTTAATTTAAAATTGAAGATCATTACAAAAAATTTAATTAAAAACTTCACATCATTTATTATATTATTACATTTGTTATGTTATCAAAATTTCTGAACAATACTTAACATCTTTATCAAATATTACTCATATTCATATTATCATTAAGTATTAATTTAAATATTATCATTTTCATTAATTATTGTAAAATTAACATTTAATATTTAAAAATTAAATAATTCCTTAATTTAAAATTAAATATTTCTTTTATTAAATTTATTCAAACTAAAATATATTGAGCTATTCATTTAAGTAAATTAAAACTGTTAATATTATTATAATTTCAATTTTTATAATCAATCAGATAAATAATTTAAATAATATATATTTTACTTTTTAAATAAAATTTAAAAAATTTAATAATATTAGATACAAATTTATCAATAATTTAATTTTAAAAAACAATGTCTTTTATGATAATTTATACAGTTAAGATTGATTCTAAATAAATTATCCAAACATATTCAATTATGTTAAAATAATATCCAAACAAATTACATTATAAAATAGCCAATTATAATTAAAATCTATCACTTAATTAATTATTTCATAATCTATTATATCCAATTGAAATCCAAACGAACACTAATTCTAATCTTTGGCCACCGAACTCATCTTAAAAGTATGATAGGCCTGAAACTCAGAAGCATGTTACCACAAAAACACAGAAATCATTAAAAACCATCACCACCGAACTCATCTAACGTCAACCAACGAAAGAATTAAAAACCGTCACCGAACTCATCTTAAAAGTATGATAGGCCTGAAACTCGTAAGCATGTTACCACAAAGACCCAGAAATAAGTACATTTCTGCTGCAAAGGCTAAACTCTTGAAAGCATCACGAAGTTTAGATCTCAAATTGCATTTTCCTTTTCCAAATTTGGACAGAAGGGGAAGGAATGAAATGTAAAAACATCTCAAGATGAGATTCAACGTACAGAGATGGTAAAGAAAACTCGTATACTCACACTGTACATGACAATCACTGCGATATTCACAATGTCTACTTTCCTCCGCAACAGGCTTCATCCACATCACAATCTTTTATGTTCAAAATTAAGTTGTTTCATCGAATACCATCACCTACACCAACGCCGAAACACGATTAAATAACCAGTCCATCACAGATCATTCAACCATTGACATGGTTCTAGTGTAGTACTTAAGCTCACGTATCAGGAAAATGTTCAACCATATATCCTCTCAAGCCAGGCTGGGCTCAAATATTAGTTTGATCGATACAAAATAATATAATAAACCATAAAAGATTGTATGGGTAGTGTAAATATATAATACAGAAATATGTATATGCAAATTCACACGCATAAAATTGCATAATTGAAAATGGCGAGCCAAACGAATTGTAGCAGATTGAGCACCCATTTTTCGTTAGTTCAACTTTTCAACTTCACCCTCACCTCTCAACTCTCTGAACTGGCCCGTCATGGATTTAATTGTAGACCTAGAAACTTTCCTATAAGCACTCCCAAAAAGAATAAATTTGGGACTTTGACTATCTTATTCTAATACTATTCAGGAACAAGACTTTATAAAAAGGAAACTACTTATTCAAGCATGCTACCAGTAACAGGTAGACTGCCTAGTATTATTCGTGTTGTAGGTAGCGTTGGCAACATGAACGGACTTGACCTAGTAAGCCAACTAATTGAAGCATTCTGAGTCGTCAGAATGCTGCAAATTACTGTTTACTACATAAATTGCATGCCGCAATTCAAACTGACGATGCCAACACACAAACAATTCAACCAACAATCAGTCACTGCACTCCCAAATTGAGACAAACCACGCACTATGAATCATGTTTTGGATAATTTTCACAACTACCACGATAAGAACAGGCAGTAAACAAAAATTTCAAATGCTAATGCAAATTAACTTGATAGTTCTGAACACAGTCGATAACAGAGCTTGGCAATCTAATTCTTCCTAAATCTGCAAGAATTCTAATTTTGAGAACAAACCATAGAAAAACTGACAAGATATACCCACGTACAAGCAAAAGCCATCATCTACATTGAATGCAATATGAAAATCACTAAATTGGCCTCAATCCTATAAGCTTCCCAACTAATTCACAAGCAAATCCTTGCATTCAACTCTAATAAAGTAGTAGAGGCAGTTATAAGAAGCTGATGGTGAGTGGCAACAAAATAGATCGGATAGAGTGTGATAGTGTAGGATCCTAAGTAAACAATTACGGTGTCCAGACAGCCTTCAGATTCCTTGCATTTTTCTGCCTAGAAAACAAGAGATCATAGGCAGCTGAATAACAAACATGCTCAGTAATTACAATTATCAAGCTTCACAGAAAACTTCAGCACCCAATATGCTGATTGGTGATGAATTGACAACCATTTCAGTCAGAAAGAAATCAAAAATTATAATAAAGAGGAAAAACTACCTTCCCACAGACTGGACAGCTTTCACTTCTCTCCATCCACTCGTAAATGCAACTAAGATGAAAATGATGACTGCACTTTGTCAATATCCTTGGGTTCTCTTCAGTATACTCTATGAACAAAAATTAACGGTATAAACACGAAGCACCATAAAAGGTTCTCTTACCTTCATGCTGCATTTCGCACAATCAACAGACAGATTATGCATAAACAAGCCCAACTCCAGTTGTATAATGAAAAGTGAAGATTAAAAGACATTTCTACCTTCAAGACAAGTTGGGCAAACATCCTCCTCTTCGGATGATGCATAAACAAGCCCAGCTCCAGTTGCATATTTTGCTGATGAGAACCTTACTGAGGACTTAGATCTGTATTCCTTTGATGCATCTTCACAGGAAGATCCATTCCATTTGCCTCCAGAATTTAAGGATTCTTGATCCCCGTCTACGTCACCTCTTAGAGGTTCTGACTCTTCATTCAAATGACTAGAACCTTTGTCATGCCTTGAAACAAATAAATCACGTGAGCGGAAATGCCTAGGGTCTACATCATAAGGCAAGGGCCTTGGAGGAGAATGGTACATGTCAGATAGTGAATTATCAAGTGATGCTGCCGAAGCCATAGATGCTGCCCCCTGTATGGATGAAGGTAGTGAATGGACGTCGCCTCTGTGGAATATTGCTGAATACTGAAATTTGATACAACAGGAATCAGGTTATGTTTATATCATCAACTAGAGCACTCATCAATAACAGAACACATCATACAGAACAGTTATTGTAGGGCTTAAATATTCTACAAACGGCACATCAAGTAAATTAGATTAACGGATGCCAAAAAAAAAAAAAAATCTTCACTTTTACCATGTAATAGGAAATTACAAATTGCTCCCATCTGATTTTGTTTGTGGTGTTAAGATGACAAACTTGTCTCTCCAAATATTGGTGTGCAGGTAACTCATTTTAAGGTCACTTAAAAATTGTAACACTCACATAAACAGCCCTAAATATTGGAGGATCAGGAGGCATACATATGACACTCAAGGTATAAAAGACCAGAACACTGAAGATGAAAATGTGATCAATACCCCAGAAAAGTACTTCAGTTAAGTGTAAGAAAGATTAAAGGAAGCAAATGTAAATCTTTATTTAGAAAAACCACATGCAAGAACCAGAAATTACAATATTTATAAATGCCACTCCATAAGCACAGAATTACTATGAAAGCAATATCTCAAGTCATGAGGGAAGGCATTGGGATCAAATTATGGCCAGTTATAGCCAAAAGAAAAAGAATGAAGGATTACATATACACCTTCGCAAAACCTCAGGCTAGGACTGAAATTACAATAAACCAGTATGCTGCTCCACAAGCAAAGAGTTACACATAAATAGCAATGTCTCAAGTCATAAGGGAAGGCATCAAAATCAAATTATGGACAAATAACAAATAATATAGATGACAGAAGGTATTAGAAAAGGTGAGAAGGGGCAACAGCATACCGCATTCATAAAGTTCTGTAGGAAGCAATTGAGACACACACAATTCCTATACACAGAACTATTTCTATTTACATAATCTTCAAATTCATCAGCACTCAAGCAACAACAAACAGAACCCATTATGCCAGCTTCTATCTCTCTTTAGCTTAAAATATTTCCCTCTTAAACTGATCAGCTAAAATAGATGGTGCAACATTCAAGTGTTGAGAAAAAGAGCCTCCAACAGCATAAGCTGTGCTTTGATCAATAAACGAGAGAGGATTCTAAGCTCGCAGAAGTCCAGCTGCCTCCGCAAACCAGCACCCTCCCTCTTTGATTCAGACGCCCCTGCAAAAAGAATAATCAGCTTACACTTGTCTTTCTTACATGAAAAGTAAGACAGAATCTAATGAAAAACTCTAAAATAGGTGAGAAAAGCTGTCATTCAGGCGATTCATACTGCAGTAACTAGTATTTACTTCACAAGCATCAAATGCTGTTATCGAGCAATGCAACTACTGCCCATGCTCAAAAGCACTCCAAAGATTACCAATGGAAGATCAGGAGTGCAATATACGAATACGACATTAAAAGGGGGGAAACAACCAAGAAACTGATTTTTTTTTTTTTTTGCCGGGGGGGGGGGGAGGACAACATAACAAATTTAATTGCTTCCAGGAAAAGAATCAAGTTCTCTGCCACAAACCGACAATTTCGCCTTTACATTGTTCCTTCGAATCGAGAAAAAAAGGATCCTTTCCTTTAGTAGCGAGACACGCCGATGGATGAACTAACAAGAACATCATTGCTTTCCTATGGCAGATAATGATCGCTATTACCAACGACATGCCGACGGGCAATCAAGTTTAACCGATGAATTGGAAAAACTAAAAAACCTCAAATTAAGGGAGAAATCGCATTCAAATTGTCTAAGCGTATCAAAGAAGAAAATCGACCGAGAAAATTGACGAAAAAGAATACACCCACTCTTGAGTTTATCAAACCACAAGACAATCGGAGTGTTCAAATCCACTATCGGGCAAGAAAATCAAAACTGGGCGAGAGACGTGATATTAGAAAGAAAGAGGAAATACCTAAGCGAGACAGACAGAAAGAGAGCAGATTATTGGAGAGAGAGAGAGAGAATTAGATTGAATGGTGATCTTCCGTCAAGACAACGTCAGAGGAGACTGGAAGCCCGAAATTCGGTGGATTAGATGATTCGGAAATCTGATACTAAAAAGGATACAATCGTGGGACTTCGAGGCTACCCTCCTCATTTCTCCTCTTGCTTGCGAGAAGGAATCAAACCCCAACTCAACTAATAATTAAAAAAAAAGACTCACAGTCAGCCTCACTCCTGCTAATTCCGGCCCGAATCAGCAAGTCGCACCGCATGAATATATTGAAATTGAAATTTAAAAAAGCAAAAAAAAAAAAAATATATATATATATATATATTCTCTATTGTCATCTACGGAGGAGCCAGGTCCAATATACGGTCCTCCTTAACGTATTCATGACGATAAAGCCAAAGATAGTATTCACTAGGGTGCGCCGAGCGAAACAATGCGTCCTCCCGGACAGAATCTGTACCATACCATTAACTCTTTCTGTGCGCTAACGCGCGAGCTTCAGTTATGCTTATTCCTCAATTTTTATATAGTGAGGTAACAGCAAATCATGGCAGAAAAAGTAAACAAAAATGCCAAATATATGACATGCCATGTCCTGTTTTGCAGGTGTGCGTTTAATGTTTAGTTTGTCAAAAAAATTTATTTAATAAAAATTTATTTAATAAAAATTATTTATTTTAATAAAATTTATATTTAAATATATTTTGTTTAAAATTAATTTGATATATTAAAAATTATTTGAATTATAGTAGTAAAATATGCTTTTGAAAATATAATTATTAAAAAAGATATTGATTTATGATTATTTATAATTTTTATTATACAAATATAATATATTTAAAGTATTTAAAAAAATGTCCTAAAAATTTTAAATAACATAAAATTTAATCTATAATGCTAAAAACTTAATGTCCAGTTATTTATACTTTTTTAATTTGTAATTTGAAAAAATGTAATAAAAATTTTTATTACATAATAACGCTAAAAATTAAAATAATTAATTATTTAATTTATAATGCTAATAACTTTATACCTAATTATTATTATTAAAATGATAATTATATTTTTAATGAGTTAACTATTTTTTAAATAAAAAAATAAGAGATAAAACTTGAGGTGGTATGGTTAAATAACATTTTACTTTTTAAATTCAATTTTTAAAAGTTTTAAATAGTTATGTTTTTCAAATTCACTTTCAGTTACTGATTTGATGTGTTTTCTTATAAAATATTTTACCCAAACAACTTCTAACACCCTAAAAGTGAAATCTTACTTTTTGAATGTGAAAAGTAAGATTTTCAAATAGATCCATTTACCTCATTGTATTCTAGTATTATAATATTTCTTCTAATCATAATATAAGATATTTTCTATAAGCCTTACTTGATCTAAAATATAGGACATTGAGTAAGTTTTATAATTATTTTTCAACTATACTCCTAATTCATTTATTACTCTTTTTGAAAAAATAATTCATTAAAATTTTAATTGTCAATATTAACATACTTATATAGGATATTTAGTGAGGATAAAATTAAAATGATGTAAATTCTTTTAAAAAATTTAAGTTTCAACTAACATTTTTTTCAAAATTATGAATTAATAATCAATATTTTATATTATAATCCCAAGGGAGCATGTACATTCATGTTCAAAACAAATATGTGAACTTCAAAAGTTTATCTTGCAGCATGTAATATATAATGTGTAGCATGAAACAGAAAATACCAACAGTTCTAACGCATTGTACAGTTTAAATGTAAATAACTTTTTTTTAATTAGTTAAAGTAGTGTATTCACACACTTCTCTTTTGGTCAACGATGGTGCATTCATGTGGAAAACAACATACATAAAAATTCCCGAAATTACCTAACTTAGTAGGTGTGCCAAGAAACCAAAAATTGCCTCTCTTCTCTCTTTCTTTTTTTTTAACTATCAATTATCCCCATGCATTGCATGGTTTGTATAGAATTTTTCTTGCATAAAAAACTTTGTGAGTAAAAACTTGTAATATTTTCAATATAGCTCAGAACGATTTAATTTAATTTGTTGACAATTGAATAAGTGATCTTCAAATAGATGAAGTAATGTAACAAAATGTTTGAAGTGCTCGATTTGTGAGACTTAAGAGAACAAAATGTATTGTAGCAAGCTACCTTTATAACATGTTTTGATATCTCTATTGATGTTTTATTTTCTAAGGGGCTAGCCAAAGCTAGAGTGGGTTATAAGCTACAAAAAAAGTAATCAAGAAATCAGTGAGATAAACCCCTACTATAGTCAAGCAGCAACAAACGATCACATTCTCTAAGAGGATCAGGAAGTAAGAGCAACTCATTTGAATACTCATGAGCCATATGAACTAAAAAATTTGCACAAGATATGGCCTCACATGGGGCATAAAGAAGCTTAAGATCTCTATGATTAGAGATCAAATTTTATACTTCAAATATTTTCTCATAATATGGATGAGCAATATGGACTCCTTGATAAACATAGAGAATGGTCTCAAGTGAATCAGAATATATAATTGCCTATTTAGGGTTCAAGCTCAAGCTCAGTTGTGCGCCATACTTAATGGCTATAATTTCTACAATGGTAATTGGTAGATGGCCCAGATTACAAAGAAAGCCACTTAGCCACTTTCCTTCAGTGTAATATCCTCCTTCTTCTAATCCCATAATTAAAACCAAATCTCAAGTAATTAGGGAATGGGATTATAGTAAGTAACAAAATACCAAGTTTTCGATAATTAGCAAAATGGGGACCCCAAGTTTACAAAACTAAAGTCATTTTCAAGTCTTGCAATTAGACAAATTAGAGTTCACAATTATGCGGAAGCATGGGATCATTACATATATGAGTACATTTGTTTAAGAACTTGAAAAAAAAAAGAATTTTTGGAAAATTTTAAGGCATGCACCATAACTCGTTGAACATGTGTCACAGCGTGTTCGCCTTTGTGACATGCACCGCGGCCTGTGGCTCCATGCACTGTGGTGCAATTGCACAAATTTTGACAGTAAATTCTGCTGTTAATTTGACAACATTAGAGGCAACTTCCAACATGCCCCAAATCTCCATCTGACGTTCGATTAACCCGAACTAGGTATCTACAGAAAAATCTTTTTGAGCTCTAACTAATGACTTTAGTCTCAGACTCATTATTTCTAAAACAAAAATTAGACATAGTTTTCAAAACTTACACTTTTATAATAATTTTCACAAAAACCAATTGTCCAAACCAAATACAAAAGGCCGATGGCCACTGACACCAACTTGACTACATAAAAAGTCATTAAGACTAACTCATGCAATACATCATATCACACGAAATACTCACGGATCAAATTTTCATTACTCAACCTGATGGACCCTATGGCACGGGTGACATAGTATTAATGGCAACAAAGCTTAAGGATGGTAATCATGAGCATGGTGACATAGAAGGAGCCCAAAACTTCCAATCCAACGTACCTAAAGACCCATTACAACATATTGGAGGTCCAATGACAAGAGCCCGAACTAAAACCATGAAGCAAGCCTTGTTCAGTCTTGTGCAAGAAGTTCAAGAGCTTGGAGAGCATTAGGGCACTCCTCTCAAGCCCAAATGAGAGCATCTATACGTGTATAATGTATTTAAGATCTAAACTCATGAAGAGTCAAGCCTAAGAGATGCAGACCTTAGCCCAATGTAAGGAAGACTATAAGTTGAGCCTCTTGCAAGCAAGGAGGCATGAAACCCTAGTAAAGAAGTCAAGGGTGGCGTGATTTTAAATCCTTTATGATCCCTTGATTGTCTCCTAAATTATTTCCTATTTTAATGGTCCTTTGATTTGGTTTTCTATTTTAAGTCTAGTCAAAGGTTAGAATTAATTATAGTATTAATTTCTAAATTTTGTAATCCCATCATTTTAGGATCACATCTCCTAAATTATGTGGCTGAATATTTTATCATTATTTTATATTATTTCTCCTTTTAGTATTAGGAAATTAGGATTTTAATTCTAGGAAATATTTTTTTTCTATGAGCCTATATAAATTAGGCATGCTCCCTATTGTAAACAACACAGAAGTTGAATGAAATTATTCATTTTAGAGTTTATAACTCTTGTGAGCCTTAGTGCTTTGTGGTGACATCCCGTGTGAAAAACAGACGTGATCAAGAGCGTGATCAACTCTTGTGGTGTCTTCGAAGGTTGAGGTTACTAGAGGCAGGTGCTCTAGAGGATCTTCTCCTTGATCATTATCCTATTGTTTACTTCATACCTTTCTTTATTTCCGTCAAAAATTTCGTCCCTTTTTTGTTGTTGTTGTGTTTTTGTTGTTTCAGGGTTCTATTCCTAAACTAGCACGATTCTGCTTCCGCTTCCCCTATCGCAACCCCTTAAGTCTCAAAAACATACAAGGAGGAGTTTGCCACAATTTTCATCTAGTACTCCATAATTATCTCACAATATATTCTACTCTTACTTGCATTAGTATTTTACTCCTATCACAACAATAGATATTATCAACTTATTCCCTAAGGCCCAAAATACACTTACAATTTACAATTCACATAATACAAGTAAGGATCAAATGAAAATTCCTAATTGGCAATTGAAATTGTCATACACATATAATTACTCAAAATAAAGAGGTCTATTACAATCAGATTGCGGTCCTAAACCTCTGGGCATTTTCCTCTGCCCACACCTTTTGAGTTATTCTTTGTAATATTGAAGATAGTAGGGTAAGTACAATCATTCAGTAACCAAGGTCCGATTAACCCATATTAATGCATGTGAATTAGTTTAAATGCAAGTGACAATTAATGTCAATGCTTTAACCTATGTAAAACATTTGAATATAGATATTCACAATTCCACACACAAAATAGAATTTATTTAAGAAACAATGTTTTTTAGCACTTTTCATATAAAGAGAGTTAGTCACAAAAATTATTGCAAATACATTAAAAAAAATTAAGATTCAGCTCATGATATCATCATTAGGGACACAATATACAATCAGGTGTTGTTACTCATTATATGCATGATCACACCACCTTTACATCCTCTTTATTCCTCTGATATAAAACTGTGGGCTATAACACAATAGCATAGTTTATATTCCATGACTTCCCTAGTCTAAACATTTGTGAGGGGATTTAGTTAAGGCATACCTAACTCACTTATGAAATACAATTTTCCTCATTTCTCACACTATAGGGTGTCATATACCCTAGACTAACCTCCTCATTGA